TGTTTGTTAGCATGTTTAATGATTTTATGTCTGCTTTCGTCAGGTTTCAATTGTTATTAGGGGATATTCAGATATAGTCTATTCAGGTTTTTGTGGTACACATGTTTGTTCATGTGTATCTTTTACATACTGGCTATATTTCTCTAAAAGTATTGATGTGGCCAAATTGGATAAGGATTCTGATTGTTTAAGATGTTGGGAGTTGGTCTCTTCCTAATAGTTGCTTATTCAATCTTGGGTTGTATAGGGCATTGAAATCCCCTAGTGTAATTATGTTCCATTCCTTTTGGTGTCTGGTCCAGATTCTTTTTTGTATCCAGTTTGTTATTTTTATGTGATTTTTGTTGCTTTGTGCTGGCATATATAGTCCAATTATACTTATGTAGTTGTGGCCTTTGTAATTCAGATCAATGCATATATCTCTTCCTGGTATAGTTTCGATTCTGCCTATATGGTTTGCGATATCGTTTTTGATTATAATTGCTATGTCTACACCTTTGTTATTATTACTTCAAGTTATGTGAAATCCTGTAATTTTCCAATATTTTGGGTTTTTTGTGATTTGGGTTCTGTAAGAACTGCTATGTCTATCTTCTCCTTTGGTGCAGTATTTTGCCCATATGTCTCTTTTTGTTTGGTTGTTGAAGTCTCTGACATTGTGTGTTACAATTTTCCATGTTTCCTGTTGCTGTTTCTTTTCTGTTTTGTTTTGTGTTGTGATTTCTTTGGCTTGGTAATATTCTTCTGTAATGTTGGTTTCTGCTTATGTTATATTTTGTTTGTTGTGTGTGTTGTACTTTTCAGTGTTCAGATAGGTCTTTGGATGTTCTGGTGTATCTGAGGATTGATGTAGTGTATATTCATTGTCCATGTTATTGTTGTTGTTTGTGTTTGTGTCTTTTTCTGGATACTTGTTGATTGAGTTATATAGTGTTGAAAGATTGTTCATAATGCTTTCTGCATCTGTTGTATTGCTTTGATTGTTACCCATATTATTGATTAGTGGTGAAGGTTTTTGTATCTTCAGGAATTAATGTGTGGATTATGTTAACAGATCGTTCATTGTTTGGTTGGTGTTGTTGATTGTTTCATGAATTTGTCTTTGGCATATCTGAAGGTCTATGATTTCCTGTACAGGGGTTGTGTTGTTTCCTGGTGTTTGGGTTTGTTTTGTTGACTCTTTAGGGGTCTCTTGCATTTCCGTCTCTTCTGTTTTCATGGTTCCGATGGCATCTTCTTTGTAATACTCCAAATTTGTATTTCTTTTATCTATATCTGCTATTTGTTGTTTAATTTCTTGTATATCTTGTTATATTTGTTGCAGAAGTTTGAGTACTTCTATCATGTCTGTATTTTCAGTGATGTGGTCTGTGCTTCTGTTGATGCTAGGTTGATATCTCGCAGCTGCCATGTACATGCCTGGTCTTGCTTTTCTTGTTTAGGTGGAATGTGTTTCCTAATTTCTTGTGTTTTTGCTAGTTTGAATTTTTCGTATAGTTTACTGAACTTTGTAGCCTGTTCCCTGTTATATTCTAACCAATGGTTTCTTCTTTTTTTGGTTGAACACGTGGCTATCAGATGTATCTCCATCACATATCGCACATAATTTGATGTCGATTTGTGTCCATGTGATTTGTGTTTCTCCAATTGTAAAGTTCTATTGTGTGGCATTGTTTAAATTGGATGTGTTCTCAAAGTTGATGACTGCAAATCTCTTCCTTTGGTATGATCCTCTGCGTAGGTTATAGCATGTTTTTGTCTTGGTTTGCTGGCAAATAATATATAGGTCAAAGGCTAATGTGTTGGGTGAAAGGTTTGTGAGCTTTGTTGCAATTTGGTTTCTTTTCTTCATTTGTATTAAACTCCATTGTGTATCAAATACTCTGATCATATTGACCTTGAAAGGGATGCTCCACATGTTTACAATTTTTTCCTTGCTGCTCTTGTCTTCAAATGTAATAGTGGCTGTTTGTCACATCTGTTGTGTGCTCATTGAGATGCTTGTAATCTGTCTATATTTGGCAAAGATTTGTTGTACTTCTATAAATCTTGCATTTAGAGGAATGTCTTATACCCTGATATTGTTTTTCTTTTTTGGATGGGATCATGTATAGGTATAAAATCCAAGTGTGTGTTTTTCAAATTGGGTAGGTCTATAGTGCATGCTTGCGCTGCTATCTGGTAATCTCCGAATGTGGCAGTAATCAGCTCTTTGTTTTTTCTTCCCTCACTGTGGATGTTGATGAGTCCTTCGGGGTAGCCTAGTGCTCAAGTAAGATATTGAATTTTCTTGCTGGTTGTGTTTCCAGGGAGTATTTTTGCTTCAATTCCAACTTTGCTTCGTTGACATCCATATCTGATGCTTCTATCAAATAAGGAGCATGGTTTCGGGTTGCTCCATTGGTGCATAGGTTGTTTTTCTTTCTTATATGTGTTTCACCTTTCATTTTGAAGGTCTGTTTCCATCTCTTCATCTGAATTATCTATTCTTGCCTATTTGTATGGACTATCTTTTTTATGAAAAATGCTCATTTGTTCAATGGATAGTTCTGCTATTGTTTTTACCTGTGGATTGGAGTTTTCTTGTTTGTATATATTACTCCAAAGTTCATATGTATCAGGTTCCTTGGCAATATTGTTTGATTCTTTTGTGATTTTGTTACAATTTTTTGCCTCTTGTTGAGTCTTTCCTTGGACAATTGAGATTGTGCTTGTTTTCGAAGCCTTTGTTTTTTATTTCTGTTTTGTTATATCTGTTTTGTCATTTTTCCCTTCAGTTTGTGATTGTTTCTTTGCTGGTTTTTGTGTTGGATATGGTATTGTTTCTCTGCTTTTTCAGCCGGCCGTGCCTTTGGTAAGGTTGCTGACATTGTAGTTTGACCTGGTGGAGGCAAAGGTGTCTCTGAGAGTTCTGTTTGAACTCATTTCTCTTTCTTTTCGCTGTGTTTCCTAATTTGATAATTGTGTGCAAGTGGGAAAGAGTTTGATATTTATTGAATTTTTTTTTTTTTTTTTGTATTGTGAGTAAGCTTTACTCTAATTTATTAATTGTGCTGTAAACAACATACATTGTATATTTCTGTCTACACTTACAATCCCTCAATTAGAATTCACCCACAGGTATACCATCCGGGTACAGCTTATTTATATATGTATTGTCGACTCAAGTCTTACTGCAATACATCCTATCGGTGTAACTAGATGTTCTATTTGACACTGTGTAAAATTAAGGGAAATTTGAAATTTTTGAGCACTGGGGGTAGTACCTATATTTGGTGAATAGAACCCTACAATTTTAATCTTTCCAGATCCAACCGCCTGTAGCTAGACATACCATTTTCCATTTAATTTCTATCCCCTCAAGCTACCCAAGAATGTCCAAGAAACTTATGTCACCAGACTTATTTCCCATTTAGATATCCACAAGGTTACCTAGTGGTCTTACTGCTGGGCTGCCTTCTCGGGATAAGTAACTGTCAGAGTGATTTATTACTGGATTGGAATAGGACCTTTCCAGCTATCCTGTAGAAAGAGACACCAGATACCACGGGGAAATGATTACCAAGCCATCTTTATCGAAAGCAAACACTTCATACTCCTTGCAACTTCTGGTGATCATCATAACACCAACCGGATGATTATCGCGTCATGATGCCTTTTTTGGAAAATACAACCTCAATGTCCACTTGGATCAGCGTGTGAAACGGCTTCTTATGAAAAACAGCACTTATACAGGTTATAACGCCAGATATCATATTAATTCCTATTCAACCACCCTCATATGGGGTTAAACTGGTATCTTGTGATTTGACCTGTGGAGTGTTAACCACTACACTATAGACCCACAGGTCTGATATTTATTGAATTATTATATATATTGTATATATATTATTATTATTTATAAGCTTAATAAAGCTATAGTGTATTTATAAATTACTAGTATATCAGTACTAATGTTATATATTTAATTCCTAGTAATAGCAACATGCAGTAAATCTATTTCAGTAAGCTATATTAGTAATTAGCTACATGCTACATATAGTGCAAGTTCCTATACCCTGTAATTCCAGTTGTAATTTTATTAATCTGATTGAGGATCTAATTAGAAATAGCTAGATATGTATTATATTGTTTACAAGATTCAGTATAGGATGTAGTAGATCACTTATGAACTATTACTCTTAGTTTTGGAGGACTAATGCCTTTCTAATAATTTATTATTCTATCCTATAAATGCATGAATAAATTTTAAAAAGATAATTGAAGAATAAAGTTGATTAGTTTATTATATTATTAATTATCAAATTGTTTGATATTGTTTGTTAATATTGTTGATGTGATTTTTTTTGTTTTTTTGTATTATGAAATTTATTGTCATTATTGTTTTTTTTTTGTATGGGATATTTTGTGATATGTCTAGAAATTTTTTTTTACAATTATTTCCTGATTTCTGGATATTCATTTTTATATATATAGTAATTTGAATGTTTTGTTTTGGATTTTGCTAATGTTTTTAAGATCAGTTTATATTGAATTGAGATTTTTGAAAGGTGTGTTTGGTTGAAGGATAACTGTTGCAAGGTTGATAGTCAATATTGATATTTAATAGTTTTTGTATTTGTTTTTTATTGAAGCTTTTATTGGTTTTTAATTTTTTTTCCAGTAGTATTTTGTATCATTGGTTATTTTTTGGAGTATTGTTAAACTTCTTTTGCAAGTTAAAGATAATAAATTGTTTCTAGATTTGTGTTATATTATGGATATAAGTTGTTGGTATATATGTTTGGAAATATTATATGGAGATGTACTTTTGTAGAAAGAGTATTGGGAAAGATTTTGAGACAGAAGTTATATAATTTGAATTGATATTGTGTAACTGAAATAGGTGTGTTTTTAAGAAATATTAAGGTTTGTGCAAGAAGTGATAGGTTAGATTTGAAGATTGTTATTTTCTTGTTGTAACGTCATATTTTTGTGGTTGTTTTGGTGTAGTTTCTTCTCTATTGCCCTTGCGGCTGCTGTTTCTTTTTTATGACTGCTGCTTGACCATTCTCCAACAGTTCTGATAGCATTCTTCCCATGTGTTCAATCTGTTTTTCTATTTTGCTCTGTCTTTCTGCCACTTCTTCGTTGATCGCTTTGTATGTTGTCAAGGGAATTTTTTCCTCCTCAGTATTCATTTCTTCTGTATCTTGGTATTGAGATCATTGTTCCCCCAATCCTTCCTTTGTGTATTCTACTTCTTTTTGCTCCTCCTCTGACGTCATCCACCAGTCCCATAAAGTGTTGATTTTCTCTTCTATGCTTCTGACTTTGTTTTCTAGGTTGCTTAATCTCTTCCTGATTTCTTTTTGTTCCCTGCCTTCTTTATTAATCATTGATCTGGATCTACTTCTCTTTCTCATTATTTCTGCAAAAGATATAGGTGTTTCTCTTTCTGGCCCCTTCCTGAATCTCGACTGGATTGATGCGAATTTTGCCTGTGCAATGGATTTGTCCCTTTGGATTTATACCTCCTCACACTGGAAAGCGATATGTCCATTCTATCCACATTTGTAGCAAAGTCTTTCGTGCTGGTCCACAAAGCTGATTGTTGTTCTGTCCAATTTAAAGGTTTGTTTTTCTGCTGTTTTTAGCTGGTCCTCTGTTTCAAATGCTATGTATACGAATCTCTCCCTGAAGTATCTGCTTGTTCTTGGGATATATAGGGTTTTCCCTCCCGTTTCTCTTGCTATTTCCTCTAGATTATATGCTGTTGTGCCTGCAGACAATCCTGCTAATTTAAGCACGTATTTGGATTTTCTTGTGAGTTCCTCTTTTTCTTCCCATTTTGGAAGTATTCTCAAATACTCTTTCTCAAATGGGATCGATCACATTTCAGCCAATAGTTGTGCATCTTTTTTTTCTTTGAAGGTCACTGTTGCAGTTTACCACATTTCTACAGGTTTGATTGCCACCGTTTGGATATCTCCAAACTTTCGTAATGTTGCTTTAACTGTCCCCTCACTTGCTGAAAGAGGAATGTCTCTGACTATCACTGTCAATCTCTCTTCCAATTGGTGTTCCCTTTGTTTCACCGGTGTTAGGTGTTCTCTATTTTCATCCGTACCAAAGTTAATCTCACATGCCTCCTGCATGTCAATGAAATTTCCAAAATTGGCAATGATTGACTTCTTTTTTCCCGTCGCTTCTCTTCCTACTCTCACCCCCAAGAAAGAGTCAAAGGCGATACATGCTTCCTCTACCATCTCTAGAGCTTCTGCTGATTCTATGCCTGCCACCAGCTCCATTGAACATGTATGTCTTGGTTTTTTTTTTACTTCTTTTGACTGTCCCTCAATTTTTTCTCCTTTTTCCTTTTCTTCATATGCTTCCTTCTCTCCTGCCCTGATATCTGAGTCATTTGCATTCTTACTGTTCTCTTCCGTTTCTGTGACTTTTTTTTCGATTTCCATTTCTTGTTCTTCTATTGTGTCTTGTTCATCCTCTCTTTCCTCGTTTTCTTCTTCTATTTCTTTGTTTTTTTCTTTCCTGTGTCCATATTTGTTGCTCGTACTGGTATCTTTTTCCTTTTTTCCTTATCCAAGCTTTTTGGTCTTCCTGGTCCTTTCTTGGCAATAATAGTAGCCACTCCTCTTGCTTCTCTCACTACATTTATTGTTTTCCTCTCTGTACCTCTTCCTCTTCCTGCACTTGTTGTTGCCACTTGTCTGACTCCCATTTTTCTTTTTCACTTTCTCGCTGCTTTTTTCCAGTTTCTTAAAAAGGCAATTTTAACTGTGTGGGAAAGAAATTTTTTTATCTTCAAAATTTTTTATAAATATTTAAAACTTAAAACTTATTTAAGTTTTTATTAAATTTATTATTATTTACTTATTAATATATATATATATATATAATTTTTTAATTAATTTTGAAGTACTTTAAAAATTATAAAATAATTTTAAACAATAAGAAACAAATAATTTTAACTAATAAAATTCAAATAATTTCAGTTAATAAAAAACAAATAATTTTAGCTAATAAAAAATTTAATATAAATTTACATAATTATGTAAACAAATATTTTCATGTTATATTATTGTTCATATTATTAGTATTATAAACAATATATTATATTCAAATAAAAATAGCAAACTGATTAATCATATTTAACAAATAGTTAAGCTATTGTACAATATTATTAATAAAATTTTCTCTATAGCAAATATTATTATCTGGATCAAAGTGATCTTTAAAAATTTCTTTCTACTTTATAATCTTATTTGAAAACCAAGATGCAATATAGCAAACATACCCTTTACTATTAGAATTAAGTAAGATTCAAATGGTACTTTTAATAATACCATTTCAGTATTAGTTCAATACTTAAATTTACTATAAAATTATATGAGTAGATCCCAATTCATATATTAAATTTACTATAGATTGACATTATTTTAATATCAGTTTGATATCAGTTCAGTATTTTTTAGAGCTCTAGATTCAAATATTTGCCAACCAAAAAAAAAATTCCAATTTAAGAAAATCAAGTCAGAAAATATCTAACTCCAGATATAAGTCAAACTCTTATAATAAACCAATCATGGACTTGTTACAAACAAATTTATTAACAATAACTACAATTCTACCTTATGTTACAAAAATTTAATAACAAATTTAATAATCTTATTACTAATCCTAAATAGATATTTATAGCTGCTTGACACTATCTCAGATATATAATGGTTTTAATATTTATTTTCCTTATTATCTAAATAGTTTATGTAGGCAAGTTAGCATTAGACTTATTAGCTTAGTAAGTTATATAAGAGATGTTGTCACTTTCTTCATGTATAAATTTTAAACAATTTTACAATTAATAAAGTAATAATGTTTACCTACCTTAAAAAAAAAATTCATAGTAAGATAATTTCTTATACAGATAATGTATAGTAGATGAATTTTTGTTATTTGAACTTTTTTTTGTCTATTTGTACCTTTTATTTATTTATTTAATACCTAGGAACTAGAAAATAAAAAAATAACTAAAATAAAAATAAAAAATAATCAAAATAATCAAAATAAAAATAATTAACATAATAAACCAAAACAAAAATACTATCGATAAATTCCATAGGGTTTATGTGTCCAAAACTGTATTTAGTTGGAGACGGAATAATTTACTAGTTCGATGAGAGCTATAATCTGATTCTTGTGATTTCCACGACTGATTTTCCGTAACGGGATATTCGTCCACAAAATAATTCTCCATCATACTTCTCAATAGTGCCTGGAGAGTATTCGCTGCGTCCTTTACGGAAATGCGATCACGGGGATTCTCTGCCCAACAGTTTTGCATTAAATCGGCATATATTTTTGGTGTTCCGGGAACTATGGTAGGCCGAAGGCCGAGTAAAATGTATACAGGATTACTAGATCGATCACCGAGAGGTACATACCCAGCGCTTATTTCCCACATAATAATTCCAAAAGCATATATGTCAGATTCTTTTGTTTTGCGATAACCTTTAAAAAGTTCGGGGGCTATGTAAGGAAATACACCTTTAACTTCCATTTGTTCTTCTTGTGCATCTACAGACCCGCACGTTCCAAAGTCAGAGATAACCCAATTGCCCCCATTCCTTTGTAAAAGTATATTACCCGGATGTAAATCACCATGAATTGATCCTGTCTCTGAAATTCTATATAAGTTAAGGGAGATATTCCAGGCCAACCTAATTTTATCCTTCCAACTCATGTTTTTGTGATGTTTTTGAAGATAAGCTCGTAAATCACCTCCTTCACAGAAATCGAAAACAAACATATATTCCCCTTCTTCATTCTTTGTAAAACCTAAACCCATAACAACAAAAAATCTGACAGTTCGATTTCTAGTAAATATTTGATTCCAATTTGCCTGTCGATTGGGAAATAGATATTCAGCAATATTTTATAATAATACATATTATAGATCAATAACTTACTTCTTGAAAGACTTCATTTTTAGAGAGATCATTATTATTAAAGATTTTAAGGGCCACGTTTCTGGGTTCTCTTATAAAATTATTCTCTTTAATGTCCCAGTCAATAATATTACCACGAGTCCATGTTGCACTGTATACTTTTCCGTACCCGCCTTCAGCTAGAAATTCAACGTTTTTTAAATCACTGAATTCAATCCACTCGATAATGCAATGTGGTACGGGGCTTTCATCTTGATGTTTTCGAAGAAAGTCATCGATTTTAAGATTTCCTGATGTCCATACTTCCTTTTTTAATTTTATACGCATGCAATGTTCACAATACTTTATCGAATACTTTGGGAGCTTGCAAATAGGGCAAAGGGATTCTTCGCCCCGTTTATTCCTTGCATCGACGGCTTCTCTAGTCTTGACAATTTCATTGATGAGATATTGCGTTTCTATTGGAGTTAGGGTCGTATTTTCTTTGGCATGTCTCATTTGAATTTCACGCCATTCATCGAGAGACCCTTCGAAATTATAATATAAACTTGTTTTAAAAGAACACTCTCCCCAAACAGACTTTATTAAATCATGTCGAATTTCCGGTTCATTTGTAACATATTTATTGCATATAAAACAAAGAAAGAAAGATTTCAAGGATTTTAAGAACGGCATCATAAAGACTTTTGCAAGAGTGATTAGTAAATACAAAATTTTCTCAAATGATAATCATGAGCATTTATAACAAACGAGAATGGAATTTTTTCCCAATTTCACATGAAGAATTCTGAAAGTTTGCTCACGAACCAAGATCACGGACAGAAAGTGAGAAACTACCTTCGTTTGTATGAATTTTTGATATGACTGATAATCTTTTCTGAACCTTTTCCAGAGAGAAGCTAGCTCCTTTATGAGATAGATGAAATAGCTTTTCGGAATAAATCACATATGACATCAGTTTAGAGTACACCGAAAGACGCGGTGCAAAAATTCATTGTTTCCTTTTTAGATACAGTATAAGGCTTTTTTTGTAGGTTTTTCTTCAAAGTCACACAAATGTTTATAATTAGTTAACACTAAAATCGCGTTCGAAAGTGTTTAGTTAAATATAAATTTATAAAATTGTTTTTTATTACATAAATGAGCAGAGTTATGGCTGCGGGGGGTTCTTTAGGTGTCACTCGTGCGGCACCCTTTCGGCACTTGTGCGTCACCTGTGCAGGTGCGCTTTCGAAATTTCTGTACTATAAAAAGAAATTCGAAAGTCGAATAAAGTTTGTAATTGAAATAAAACAAATAAGTAAAATATAATTAAAAAATCAAACAAAAAAAAAAAATTTATAATTAAAAAAAAAAATAATAAGGCTTATAATTAAATAAAGAAATAGTACGTATTGTTGGCGGGGAAATTGCATGGGGCGTGACCGCAGTACACGATCTGATGCGTTGCGTACCCTAGAGATCAGAGATAGTCGGTGGAGCTGCATAAGTAATGATGTAATGATTAAAGCCTAAAGTAGACTTTTTATGCCTCCCCTGAAAAGCTTGTCCACCGATAGTCTATTCCCTCTTAATAGTTTCTCCTATCATTTCGATATAAATACAGTAGAAAAGAGAAACATGTAAGAAAAAAGAAGAAAAAAAGATAGGAATAAAAAATTGTAAGAGAAGTTACACAACAATAATAAAATCTGCTTCTTAAATTAAAAGCTTTCTAATTAGGGACATGTGATAGCTGCTGCCAAAAGAAAGAAAAATTAATTAACTTAATGTATCTAATCCAATACTTGTTGCAAAGAGAATGTCTAGATTACAAGAAAAAACAAGTGATGGAACTTGTCTAAGAAAATTGAACAAGGAAAAGAGAAAAAAGAAATATTAATAAAAAACTTGGCTAAATAAATTCATATGTTTCAATTAGAGAAACAAAAACTTACCTAACATAACACAAGACTTGTTCTAGAGAGGTGACAAACTTGTTAAGAGAGATGTCAACAGTATTTATAATTAAAATTCAAAAAATATTTAAATAAATAATTTTTTAATAATTTTTTTTGATTTTTTTTTGTTAAGCTAATTTACTTGAATTTATTATTAACAAAATAAATATATTTTTTTATTATAACTTTTTTTAATAAAAATAAATTTTTAATAATTTATAATAATTTATATATTTATAATTATATAATTATTTAATTTAAAAAATTATTATTCAATTAGAAAAAAAACTTGAAAATTATAAACATATAGGTTTATAATGTAGTGATTAACATTTCACAAGTTAGATTACAAAATACCAATTCAATTTCAAGAGAAGAAGATTGAATTGAACCTATATGATATCTGGCATTATAACCTGTTATATGCTGTTTCTTATTTGAAACTATTTTATATACTAATTCAATAGGCATTGAAATTGTAATCTTCAAAAAAGGTGTCATAGTGTATTGATCATCTGGTTAATATTATAATGATCAAAATTATGCTTGGTGCATTTCCAGTTTCCATATAGGCCATTTCTCTTTCCTATAGTTTACAAGACTATAAAAGAAAACCTGTTAACTTAATTAAGCAATTTTGAAGAAGATCACCATATAAATATGATCACATGAAGCATTGTTTTGGCTACTTTACAGAAGTTATACCTTGCTTAATATTTGTATCTCTAGATCTGGTAGCCAATGCCAACTAAAAGTTTTATGAAATGTTTGCTAAAGAATTTAGAAGTCATGTTCTACTAGACCTAATGATTTTCAGATTTGATAGTATATGTTAATCATAGAAACAACTTTTAAAGCATTTACTAGAAAATATAAAGAAGTAATACCAGAGTATTACAAAAAGTATAAGCCAGAGAAGAGAATATAATAAGAATCTTAGTAATTATTAATAAAATATGTTTTTTGAATCAATTATACTTGGCATATGAACTTATCCATAAGATGTAAGTTGATATAAACAGATTAAAAAAGTAGGTGCTAAGGTTAGGTTAACTAGAATAATTAATTAAATCTTTTATATAATATTATAACTTCAATATTAAATTAATAAAATGTTTGTATGTAATATGCTTAGCCTTAAAAAAAAAAACTTAAAAATTATAAATAAAAAATTTTTTAGTTTAAATATATAAAAAAAAATGTTTTTTTTTAAAAATAAAAAATTATTTTTATTAAAATTAATATAATAATTTTATTTATAGTATATAACAAAACTTTTTAGAATTATTATTATTATTTTTTGATAAATAAACATTATTTCATTATTTGATTTGTATATTAAAATTATATATTATAAAAAAAACATCTCTTATAAATAAATACAATAAGTTTAATACTAGCTTGCTTATTGTTAACAAAAAAATATATGATTAAAATCATATAATGCAACTACTGTAATCGGTATATTAGCAATTGTTTAACAAATAGTTTCATAATATTATAAAAAGCTTAAATAGTTTGTTTTTATATAACACAATTTTTTTTTTTTAATGCGAGTAGACTTTACTCTAATTTTTATTAATTTGTTATGAATGACATACATTGTATATTTCTATTCACACATGAATTATTACAATTAGAATTTACCCACAAGTATACTATCCAGGTGTAGCCTACCTATAAGAACTATTTTAAGTGCACTGATTTTCTACATCTTCCAGCCTCAAATTTGTAAACTTTCTATTAAGTCTTTTAACACCAAACTGGATTGCCCATCAGAGTACTATGTCTCAAATTCCCAGTCCTCTTCCTTTGAATCAACAATCTCAGTAATTGATGCAAGAGGATTCCTATTTGGGAAATGGATGGAACCCTTTGGCCAGTAGTGTATCTTTAAACCTTCTTGGAATTGATGATCCAATCCTTTGTAAATAATGCTGGGCTTCAAGCATAGGCTGCTTATTTAAGAGGGCGCAAATCCTCCAAAGTCAGGCTAAGTCTTAAGGGGAGTCTTCCATTCTGGCGATCGTTACCAACTAAGTACCTTCACTACAGGTAAGAATGGTGGGTGTTACTGGCGAGTGCGTAACTTGTGCTGCAGGGGGTTGTGCTAAAAGTCTTGCTTGAAAATTTCCAGTATTGTGGTCCTCCATAATTTCTTTTATAGTCTCGTGGACTATAGAAAGGGGAAACGATCTGTTATGGAACTGGGAATTACACCAAACTTGACAATGATCATCGTAACGCCAACCAGACGATCATTACACTGCAACACCTTTTTTGGAAATCATAATCTCAACGCTCGCTAAATCAGCATGTGAAACGGCTTCGCATGAGAAACAGCACATAACAGGTTATGGTGCCAGATACCATATTGTTCTATTTAATCACCTTCACCTGGGATTGAACTGGTATCTTGTAATTTGACCTGTGAAGTGTTAACCACTACACTATAGACCCACAGGTTTATATAACACAATAGTTTATAAGTTATAGCAAATATATATATATATACTGTATATATATTTTTAAAAACACTAGCTGGGTCTTGCCTGGTATACTTTATTAGTTTGTGATGTTTACATTAACTGTTTACAAATTTGTTTACATAAATGTTATAACTTTACTTCTATCTATATATCGGACTATATCGGGATTTTTCCAAATATCAGCTTTGAGCTATTTGATTTATTCTCAAGTCTAGATGAAAGAAAAGAAATCAAAAACCAATGTGCCAAGGCTCCATTAGTGTTAGTAAATAGTATGTATATTGTTAAACCTAAAAGTTTAACTGATCCAAAATAGAAAATTTTATACCAAACATCGATCTAACACATTAATTCACTAATAATAACCTATAGTATTTTTATCTGTTGAATAATTTTACTTAAAACCCAAAAAAAATTTTCAGTCACTACTTTTGTAATAATTAAGAATTTCGGTCAAACGTTTATAGTATCCAATCAAAATATATTGTTATATCACATGATCAAGTAATAATCCCCTAAGTTATGAATACGAAGAATTGAGAAACATATTACAAATTAGCCTTTCATTAACTTTTCCATATTTGTATTATTTGTTACTCTCAATAATT